TTCAAGGTTGCAGTGCACAATGATAGCACCTGTGAATAGTCATTGCATTCCAGCATTGGCAACATAGTGAGACAGACCTAGTCTCTCTCAAAAAAAAAAGAAGAAAAAGTAAAACCAACTACTGTGAACCCATTGCTGAGGTGGTTCTGACACAGGAACAAAGGAAGGAAGTTCCTTCTTCCCCGTTTCCCCTTCTCCCTTTGGATCCCCCGATCCACAAAACCTTGTAAAAAGCCTGTTAGTAAGGGGGAAATCTAGTTTATAGAATTCCAGCCCAGTCACACAAAGCAGAACCTAAAAAAGTAGATTTGGAATTGAAGGATAGCAGCTTAATGAGCCACTGTGAGTTTGCCTTAGCCCCTCCATTTTAAAAAGCAAAGCTCTCGAAGATAGGCATGTATTGAAATCCTCTTCCCTCATCAGAGCCCTGCAGGATCTAGTAAACATTTGCTGAACATCAGGGATGACATTACTACGTCCTTGCAACAATACATTTTGGACCTCAGACTTCAACATCTACAACAGCATTCAATTATCATGTTTTATGTAGCTAGCAAGAAAGTTTTTTCCACTCCAAGCAGGATCATTTAGAAAAGTCATATCAGGCGAGTGGAGCCTGCCTTTCTATAAGTGGAGTAGCCTCTTACTGTCAGTGGTTTGATAAATAGAGGTACTGTGGGTGGCTCAACTGCTCCTATACAATATCTTTTTAAAAAAATCATTGTTAAGCGGCAGGGATCAGCTTCCATGGTTATGTGGGGATTTCTGAAGAGTCTGCAGATAAAGAATATCATGTAGGGTCTGAGAAACTTGCAAAGTCTTTCTAAAAATAACACAAGAATTAGTAGAAAATTCCATCATTTGTACCTTTCAACATCTTTCTTAACCAAATAAGGTTGACAGTGAGGATTTCTGCTCTAAGAAGTTAACGATATTAGTTGAATGATTGATTACACAGATCACTGGAGGAAAGACCAAAATACAATGGTCTTGTATTAGAGTGTGGCATTGGCAACTGTATAACAAGGACAAAAATCTTCTAATAATGGCCTTAAAATGGTGTTGATATTGAAATACTCAGCCCAGAATTATCTATGTCAATTAATTATACTTCCCTAGTCTTTGCCTTTCCATTGAAATAAAAATTATAATGAGCAACACTACTTTGCAAGATGTATTATCAGCAATTTCTGAGTAATTTCTCTGAAATATTTAGAGCTCAGTGAATATCAATGACACATTATGCATGAAAACTCCAGCCATTAAAAACTGTGCAAAATTATTTTTTATTTCAATGTCAAATTCCAAAGAAAAACACCCAGAAACTGCTATGCACATTTGCATTTATAGCTTTTATTATTTTTAGGATGTGGTTTTGAACCCAAATTCCAATGAGTCACATGTATTCTTGCCAACAGTATTTTCAGGGAAAGGCTTACTTGAAGCTGCATGACACTGGATCATTTTATGAAAAATGTAAGTCCTTATAAAATGGAACCTGTTTATTATCAAAGAGTCCAAGATACATGTACTATAGGGGTAAAAGTTTGTCCTAAAAGTAGACGTTTTCTTCTCAACTTCCAATTCTGTTGGAGCCCAGCAACAATGCAGTTTAAGAAAAAGATTATCTATTTTCTCATCATTTCTAAAAGAGAATGGCAATAAAGATCACAGGACAAATAACTGAAGCAGCCAACAAAGACTATAAAACCATAAAATGCTCTGTGACTTGTTATATTTTTGATAAGAGCAACAGGATAAAGAGATTTAAAGTAGAAAAGCATACTTTAAACACGGAAGAATAATGTTTAAGGAACAGCTAATTTGTTTCCCTCTAGAAATCTTCAGTACATGGTTCTCTTGGGAAGTCTAATCAATTAAAACCCTACATGCTATTCTACTTGTGAGTGGAATAAGGAATACATTTCTCATGTTATTAAATAAATGAATCTCATCTTCAGGGAGCTGAAATATAGCTTTATCCAGACTATAGTGAATTTGTGTGTCATCTCATCTTTCTGCATTATAGGAAAATTGATTTTATGATTCCTTACTCATAAATTACAGGCCTGAGGCAATAATAGCCTCAGAGATGCTTTGGCTTGTCTTCCCTAATCTCACAGGCTGGGTATGTCACTTTTTCTTTTTTCTGAACCACATCTAGCTCTTCAAGCTTGCAATTCTGGTTATAGTTCTCAAGCTTAAAGAGAGCATGGTCTGTTAGACCCAGTATGTGTTCCTGGCTTTTTTGAAGCCTCTAAACTGAATATTATCCCTGACGCCTTTACCAAATTATTGGAATTAAACATTTTGTTAGGAATAAATAGCATTATTATAACAGAGCATTTCATTTTAGCTTTTGAGAAATGGTTTTAAGCTTTTTTCTCTCTTAGCCTACACTTTAAAGATTTATTTTTCTTTTTAACCCAATTGTGTACCTGAGAAATTCCAAAGCCTGACCTTGGAATAACAGAGTAGGGAGACCCATGATAGTATCAGCTAGCTCTCCAGCTGGACAATTCAAGATAACCATCAAAACAAAATCTGTTCCCTGTACTGCTTCCAGATACTCATTTCACTCTTTCCCTTTAAAATCCCCATCCCTCAGCCTAAAATTTTGAATTCTTTTGAGGCATGAGCCTGATTATTTCCCCATCTGCTGGTTTTTGGAATAAAATCATCTTCCTTCCTGTATCTCTCATGCTTGTTCACTTCAGCCTGCAAGTGATGAGCAGAACTTGCTACTGGTAACATGACCACCATGCAAATGAGTGCACCTCCAACATGGGTACCATAATGAACAGCTACCAAAATCATGTCTTCTCTCTCCTCACTCTCACCTCCTAAGAGCAAAGTGACCTAACATAAAATTATAAAACACACTGAATTTTCTTTATTTCCTTAGACTCACTTGGGAGATGAGGTCATTCCTTAAGGATACTTCAAGAAGACTGGGTAAGAAGGAAACAGATGCCATGTCTCTTCAAAGTGCTCCCAGGCAGGTATAAGCCCTGGTCTGTCCACCTGCCTTCTGGTCTGGCCCCGGGCTTAAATTTCAGAATGAGTGGGAGCTGTAGGGTAGAATCCAGGGGAATCTTACACATCCTATCTCTGTTTATACAGGTCCTGAAGTGGCTTCTGAATTGTCTCTACTGCTTCCATCAGCCTTGGTTGGTATGCAGCTGCTTTGTGCCCCAACCCAGGCAAACATAAAGAACGTTGTCAAAAGAGTGCTGAATTAATCAAAGTAAGTAGAAATGTTTGTTTCTACAAATATTTTAGCTCAACTAAATCTTATACCTAATCTTTGGGTTGTTTTAAAAGTTCAATTAAATCTTTTAGTTTTAATATTTCAATGGACTATTTTCCTTCTCTCTCTATAATAGTTCTAGATGGAAATCGTGTATCAGAAGAGCTAATTACTAGTCATCAACTGAGAAAACATGAGACCAAAAGCACTACTGTTTAGGCTGGTGCTGTATACCAATCTCAGAATTAAGTGGAAAGCAACCGTGAAACATAGCAAATACAATAGTACACAGAAGTTTCCAGGTCTTGCCAGGTTGACTTTTATATGGTCATCACTTCTGAGAATACCTGGCATATCCCGAAAGGAAGAATATAATTGAATCAATCCTCAAGTTTCAAACTTTCCCTTTTAGATGACTGCCACATTACTTACTTGCCCTAGTGCTAATGTCAATTGGGTTGATTCTCTAGTAGGGTTCACCAACGTACACTGTAATTTATCTGAACTACTACCAAGATGGTAACTGAAGAAGCCGAAACTGCTTCTTCTTGTTTTCCTAGTACCTTAATGCCTAGTTCATAGAAAAGTTCTCAATAAATATTTGTTAAATAAACAAAATTCTTGTTTTGTTTTTGGAGGAAATGAGTGTCACATTCCTGATACATTTTTAGAAATATCGTAACACAACGTTCTAATGCACACAATAGCCAAACTAATAAGAGTAGAGAGGGTACATTGAACAGGCTTAGATGAATCTCTCTGAGGCAGATAGTAGGGATATATATGAAGTTAAAAACTGATCTTCTACAAGGTAGCCCATAGGCGACAACTTACTTTGTTGGCCCAAGACCAACTAAAACACATTAAATTTCTTCTGTATCCTTCGGCATTAAATAAACTGGCATGCTATGTTTTTGCTAGCTTTTTTTAGAAAAGAGGTATCGCTTTGAGTTACTCCTGCTCAGCTTCAACAATTTTATGTTAATTCTTTAAATTCCCTTGGGATTACTAGTTTTCCAGATAAAACACTGCCAAATTCTTAACAGCAGTTTGAAGCAGGTTTTGGACTGGGGATCCCATTATGCATTCTAAAAATGCAGTTTTCTTTTGAAGTAGCTCAGGGAAAGGATGGTAATTTCAACTCTCTAATGCCTAAGCCCTGCCTCCTCCATTCCTTCAACATATTATCCTCTTTATTTCCTTCTAAAGCTACTTTGAATAACACTGACTGGCTGAAAAGAATCTTGGGTAGTTGGAATCAATAACTAGATTTTTCTCTTTCTGGTTGTGCCATGTATTACATGTTTCTTTCAATTTCCAATTAAGGAACTTTAGCAAATACTCCAGTGAATACACTAAGTCTAGACTCTAATTGTTTTAAATGTCAGCTACAAAGAAAAGTTTTTATGTGTGTTAGAAAAATATTAAGAAATAATTCTTAGAATAAATTGTTCTTCTGAGACTTGCATAAACATTCTTTCCTTCTGGGCAGTGATTATTGAGGGAGGTAGGGAATATATGAGGTTTACCCAGGGGAATTTTACAAATTATACATTCCTCCTCCACAAATATTAACCTATTTCTTCTTGTTCTCTCCCTAGAATCAATACTACAGTGACCCACTGATTGTAGAGTGCCATATTCCTTTGTTTGTTAAGGGTGGAAAAAATTAAGCATCGTTGTTTGAGATTTATCATTGGATAAAATGTTTCTGTTTAGAATTCTACAAAAATGTAAGAATACATTTTGCTTACATTACATTATTTATTTTTTAGATTTTTCCCTCTTAGTCCTGCATGCATTGTTAGCACAAAAAGTTGAACTTGATCACAACTTCCTTTGAAAAGCGAGTAGGTACACAATTACTGTCTCAAGAATTTCTCCACAGCCCAAGAATTCCAGACACTGATAACACTGTCAGTAACCTACACAACGTTCAATAGAAAAATTTACCAAATATCCTCTGTTTAATGTAAACAAGGCAGGAGGCAAAACAGCGTATTACAGTAACACTATTTTACAGGGCCCAGAATATGATTATCTACCATGTTTTAACACATCAAGTGTCATGATGGCATGCATATTTCAATTTATTGTACAACCCAAAATAAAATTGACATGTACTTTGTGATTTCAGCACTTCACTGCAACTTCTTCTGTTAATACCTATGGACTTCATAATTAAATGGTAATTGTATATTAATGCAATAATTTATGGAAATAGGTTACCATGAATTTATGAAGTAATTCCATAATTTGTGCCCTGTAAAATTAAGTGTAACAATCTTTACACTAGCAACAGTGTAAGCGAGCTAAGAATTTTGGTCCTTATATATATATATACATATATACACACACGTACACATACAATAATGTACAGTTAAATCAAAAAGCTTTGAATCCACTCATAGCTTCCATATTGCACAGATACATTAAGAGAATGTTACATAGTTATAATGTGACTACTACAATGATAATTGGCTAAGACAAATTTGAGTTAAATCAAGTGAAGAATGTGGCTCATAACTAAAACCCAAAGACTATACTCTGAGAAGTTTCTTAAAATTGTGCACACCTATTGATACAAATGTGAAGCAAGGCTAAAATTCAGTTTGGAACTTGCTATGGCAATTGACTGTTATGGTGGTACTTTCCACCCAACATAGTGCATTTTAGACACTGTTTTTATAAGTACTGAGTAATAGAAATATTCAGCTTTCGGCAGACAGTAAGAAAAAGACTAGTGATGTTGTATGATGTTTCACAAATTCAACTCGGTGAAAACTTGTGCTGGCTCTACATCTGAACTAACTTTGAAAAGAAAGAAAGAAAAAAAGAAACTTAGAAGAGAAACAAACTTAACCTAAGCCTTAGCTGACTACAAATCAAAGTCATTATAATAACTTAGAAAAATTATATTTTCAGGAGCAGCATACACATACACAAACACAAATATAAGAGTTAAAGCTTTTCCGGACTTGGTTTCATGGATTAGCTGTAAGGTCCCATAGTGAAATCAAGGATAAAAGAGTATTTGGTTTGAGAGGTAACATCATCGCTATTACATCTACAGAGCACTATGGAAACACTAAGAAATATTTAATATCTCTTAATGTCTTATTTTAAATACATGTACATCAAAGTCGACAGTTACTACATCTAAAAATGGAGATGTTACAGTATTCCTCACATGAAGTGATCAAAAGATACAACTGAAAAATGCTTTCCCATCATTCATAATCACTTACAGAAAATCCTGCATGAAGTAACCATCTCCTACTCTTGTTTTTTCATTGTTTTACTTAAACACCTTGGAATGAGCTAACAAAGATTTGCAATGCATTATAAATTTAGGCTTCTTGTTATTTTAACAGTGGTAAACATTCTAGAGCTGAGACTATTCAGAATCTTGTGATATTCTGTTCTTAATAAATAGTAAAAACTAACTATAAAATACATCAGAAAAGCTAATACGACAAAATGAGCAGAGGTGTAAAAACATGCTTCTGTGCACACAACACGCAACATATATATGCAAACACGCTACATAACGTATTCCCAGGAGGGGTAGACAGTTCCTTTCAAGCTGGAACTTTGATAGTCTGCTCCCCCAAATATCAGTAAATGAAAAGATAAAGAGAAAAGTGCTGCTGCTTAACCTTTCGACTACAAACAAACAAACAAACAATAGCTCAAAAGCAGTATTTGAGTGACAAGAATCACTTAAAGGAAAAAGAGAAAGTGGACTAGCAAACACCATTTTGTCAGTGAAGTACAAGTACACTGTGCCCAGCACAGCTTTGCTAAACTACGCGTTCCTACACTGTATCCATTCACATACATACTCAATTTTCCCAAATCCTTTAACATGTAAACAGGACATTTAAAAGACTGTTTTGCTTAATCTCTTTAGAATCATTTAAAATGAAAGACTGAACAAAATGGGAAAAAAATGTAAACATTAAGGAGGCCATTGGCATGTTGATTGCTGCCTAAGAGTTATCAGTTCCCCATGGAGACACTATGCATTTCAGTAAGAAAATTAAATTATAAAGCAATTTTCAGAGAGGGAAAACCCCAGTACATGTTAATTAGCTTAAAAAATACAATCTTAGCAAACACTACCAATGATGAGCATAAATTCAATGTTGTTGCAAAAATGTCACAGTTTAAATAAACTGAGACCCATACATGAAAAATCAATCACTAACATGGCTATGTGCACAAAAGAGTAAAAGAACATTTCTTTAAAAAATATATATATATTAATTAATAATTTCTTTATCATATTAAATTGTTATTCTTAGAAAAGCCGAAGAAAGTTAACACTGATCTACACATTTATCTCCTATAATTAACTCGATTCATTCGATGGCTCCTGAATTGTATGCTTTTTCTCATTTACAGTTTTTTTCATATTTTGTTTGATAAGAATTCTGACCTTAAAAAGTTATAAAATTAGTGGGGTTTTTTTTGCTACTTATCAATCCAAAAGAATATAAGCATTTGAGTCCCGAAGAATGTCAAAATGCCTCGCTACCTAAAAGGATTTTAAAATAACAGAAATATCATCAAAGTCATGACATCAGAAATTTTACAGCTTCTCACACAGTCATTAGAAAGGCTTATTTCCTGAAGTTCCTTTGATTGTATCCTGGATTCAACAATGTGCAATTTTATATAGAGAACCATTATATAAAGCCAATGAAAACAACATTACACAACATTTTACCAAGAATGTCCACTCAATAGGTTCTTAATGGTTCTGTCCAGTTTACAGCAATACTTCATTAAAAAGGCTTTTTATCCTCTCATGGCAGAGTGGAACTGAGTCCCTTCTGATGAAATGTACACAATATTTCTGTTCCCCTGGTTTCTTGAAAGATGTTATTTATGGTGTGGAGGAAGCGTGATATTTCACAAATGCGATTGCTGCCAGCTCCTTACAGAATTCTTCTAACACAATCACACCCTCTAGCAGTGTGATGTGGTCAATACTGGCAAGGGAAAAGCAGACGATAAGTCAATTCAAGATAACAGCAGATGGTTAAGTTTGGTGAAGTTTTTGGATTTAAAAAATATGTAAAAGGCTAACTTACATAGGGCCTTCGGGTTCCAAACCAAGTAATCGCTTTCTGACTAATAGAAGCTTGGGAGTAAAGTCTTGAATTCGCTGAATTCGAACCATAAGGTCGCCAACAACCTGCATCACAGAGACAAGAAACTCAGTTCCTGAAATCAACTCCATAAAAATTCTCAGCATTAAAAAACAAACATTCATTTTCTATTACTAAATAATGTTTCACTACTCACATAACCATCTTTGACCAAGGACTCATACCTATTCTTTAAAGTATAAAAGTTACATATATCACTTAAAATAATGAGTTTTTCTTTTTCCTCCACATTCTGTAAAATAATCCAGATTGTATAATAATTACTTTTAAACAGCAGGCATACTTTTCACTGGGTGACACTAATTACATACAATGATATTAAGATGTTAATTGGACACGTTTATCAATCCTAGAGAATATAACAGAACTAGTAACTCACCCTGACAATTACAGAGAAGAGAGATCTACAGCCAGAAGCAAGGTTCACGTAAGGATCCAACAGGTACTCGTGGATGTGTGGATGAGGGAAGAGAGAAAGTCTAGATAACACCGAGGTTACTTGTAAGTTTACATCATATGGCTATGGAAAGGTATAAAAAAGACATTTGATATTATTAATAATGTATATACCTGTGCACCTAATTTATCACTTCTATTCGTCTAAGAAAGGAAAAAATCCACCATCTTATTCCTCCCTCCACATGCTCTTCTGCAATGAAAGTATCTACAACTAAATTAGCTCCTATCATCTTAAATTTCATATATCACAGTCCTAACAAAAAAGTTTTTTAAAACATTCATATAAACATATCAAAAAGACAAATATGTGATACAATCAGGATGTCTTTTATGCAGGTTGATTTCATCAATATAATAGTTCAAGAGAGGGAGGCCAGGTGTAGTGGCTCACACCTATAATCCCAGCACTTTGGGAGGCTGAGGTAGGAGGATTGCTTGAGCCCAGGAGTTTGAGGTCAGCCTAGGCAACATAGCAAGACCTAGTCTCTACAAAGAATTATCCGGGCACGGTGGCACATGCTGTAGTCCCAGCTACTTGGGAGACCGAGGCGAGAGCATTCCTTCAGCCCAGGAACTTGAGGCTGCAGTGAACTGTGACTGTGCCACTGCACTCCAGCCTGGGCAACAGACTGAGGCTCCCAACTCAAACAAAAAGAGACATTTCAAAAGGTCATAAAAAAACACAAATGTGTCATATATAATACTAATTACAAACAACAGAGGGCACATTGAGCTTCTGACCAAAGAACTAGAAGGGAACGATTACATCTTTTTTAAATATAGTAATACAATTTTTACAGTGATATTTCTCACCTCAGATTACTCAACTACTGCCAATTACCAAAAGAATATATAGAGTAAAATAAGGTCAAATCACAGAATCTTGTCAATACAATGAAAGCACCTGGGGTAAAAATGACTGTCCTAAGCCTCAGAGTGAATAAGAAGTTTTACAGTGGTGGTGAGAGAGAGTTCGTTTCCTGCATGAGCATTAACTTTCCCCCAAACAACTGTACATCTGTGTACAGTCCCCTCATACATTTTTGTATGTAATATCACAGTTTTGCTTGAATACTAATTGCTTACTCTTCATAGAAAACAGCTCAAAAGTGCTTTACAGATTATGCTAACTTCAAAGCAAAAAGCACACTATACAAAAAAGAGCTGCTATTATCTGCTTAGGACTTTCAACAGAATGCTCCCACCCACTCCAGTTTTCTTCTAAGTAGCCAAAGGAAACTGATCGGCTGAAACAAAACTCACTACAGTGAGGAGGCTACGGAGAACCCGGATGGGGATGAGTGAGACATAGATGCTACAGCATGGTGAAGGGAGAGCGAGTCGGGACCTAGTTTAACACTAGCTATGGAATCTGAATGTTTTACTCTCAGCTACTGAGCGCTTTCAAAGCCTTGCTCACAATGAATACCAATTAAGAAGCGAATCTCTGGCATTCAGAGAAGAATGCTTGGGCACATGTAAAAAGATATCAAAGATTATGATGAACATATGATTTGTTATACAAATAGAAACTCTCAAGTCCTATGCTTTAAGTCCAATTTCAGTTCTTCTTGCCACTAGATTCATGGATATAGAATTTTTGAAAGAAAAACTTCCCCCAATTCATTCTTTCTCAAAATCTATCTTTAAGCAAGATAAATGAAAAGAAGTATATATTCCTAATAAAGAATAGTTTAAGAGTATATTCTTCTACTTGATAATATGTGGAGTTTTTTTTGATATATCATAATTGTACATATTTGGGGGTACATGTAATATTTTGTTATATGTATACAATGTGTAATGATCAAATCAGGGTAATTGAGACACCCATGACCTCCAACATTTATCTTTTCTTTGTGTAAAGGACATTACAATTCTTCTCTTCTAGCTCTTTGAAATACACAATAAATTACTGTTAGTTGTAATTTCCTCATCATGCTATCGAATGCTAGAACTTATCCCTTCTATCTAACTGTATTTTTGTACCCATTAGCCAACTTTTCTCCATCCCTCTCCCCTTAATATCTGCAACAGAATAGCTTTCTCCAAGAGTCAACTCTTAATAAATAATAAATTCGCATTAAATTGTATTTTATGTACAAAGGATGCATTTATAACAATCAATTTTTTAAAAAAGCATTTGGTAAAAAAATGTGCACAAAATGAGTTTAAAAAACAACTTAAGTCCATTTGATAACACCGACTCTTCACTTCAGGTAGTTAAGACTTTTAGGTCACTAGGTTCTGCCAGTTGTAGGTCCTATGATAAACAGCCTAATACAATTTGGCTTTAAACCAAGAGACACTACTATTTAGACTGTATTTTTTCTGTATGGTGTTACTTTGGTTTGTAACTTTATTTTAACATAAATCTAGGTTTAAATTGTTTAAGAAATGTAAGGCTGACACATTATTTCCTAATGCTGTGAAAAATAAAAATAAGTTTCAGCAACATAAAATTGTTTCACTATATGAGAGAGAACTCCCAAAAAGCCCTGAATTTATTTATAAAAAATTGTGCATTTATTCTTACATGTTAAAACTTCAGTCATCTTGAAAGTACTCTCTGTTTGATGCAATACATCTATTGAGACACTTTTCCACTGCTCAAAACAATTTTGAACATGTCAATTTTGATGCCTTTTAGTGCTTCTGTCTTTTTGTTTCACCTCTTTCACATCAGCAAAACGTCATCCAGGGAAACAAAAAAGTGGCTCATGTGAGACTGGGTGAATAGGGAGGGTGGGGCGTGGGGGTCATGCTGTTTTTGGCCAAAAACTGCTGAACACTTTGTGGTATGGGCAGGTGCGTTGTCGTGGTGGAAAAATCAGTCACCTGTTTGCCACAACTCGAGATATTTCTTCTGCATTTTGTGGCACAACCTTTTTAAATCCTCCAGATAAAACCTTTGGTTAATAATTTGATATGGAGAAACAAATTCAGAGTATACTACAAGGGGCTCACCCTCCAAAAGATAATTCTGGTTTTTTCTGGTTGCCCCTCGTACTCTGACATGGTCTCTACCTCCTACTGGTAACATCTTCAAAACAAGGTAGCTTTTTGCAGGGTTGCTATTAAGTGTTTATTATGTGGGAACCCTGTATTTTGTACCTTATAAGGTATTTACCTAAAAGGAAATCTAGTTAAATTTCTCTGACATGTCAAATAGACTTGGCCCATTTTTTTTTTTGACTGAGCTCACATTGATTATAAGGTTTAAATTTTGAGACAATAAACTGAGACTTAAAAGTACACTGATGTCACCAATAAACAGCAAACCTCATCCTCAGCAAAAAAATTTAGGAAAGAAAGATAATGATACTAGACCAAAATGCTTAGCACCCCGGGATCCATATGTTATCTTTGAAATCATATATATATTCTATATAATATTCTTACCAAAAAGTCTTGAAAAAATCAAGAGTTTTGCTTTGTTTTATTTAGAAGTGGAGTCTTGCTAAGCTGCCCATGCTGGAGTGCAGTGGCTGTTAGTAATACCCATTAATAGCCAGATTTACATACTTTGGTTGTGAAGTTTAAAATAAACAACTAAACACTAGAAATACAGCACATGCTGCTAAGAGGTTTAAAGAAAAAAAGGACCTGATCTCTTTACTGATTACTGTCAGAAACAGTACTCACTGAGTCTAATAAAATACTAGTAATATTTTACCTAGTAAAATACTTCCTAAATTATAATCTCTTTGACTTTGTGGTTATTGAAGACAAGCTACTTACAAAGTAAATTTTTCTTAAACTTCCTAGGCCTGATCATAGTGCACTACAGCCTTGAACTCTTTGGCTCAGCTGATCCTGCCTCAGCTTCCCAAGTAGCTAGGATGACAGATGTGTGCCACCATGCTCGGCCCAAAGGTTTTAAAGACAAAAGGCTTTGGGCTGGGCTTCATAACCTACTAGCTACAAGTTACATAACTGAAACTAAGGATTCCTCATGTATAAAATAACACTAGAAATCTGTCTTGCCCGTAATATAGGGTTATAGGACCAATGACTGAGACAGCGTATCAATCAGCTCTGTATGGTGAAGCGTTATATGGTAAAACAAAGAATTTTAACATTTCAGGATACACTGTTTTCAATGTATCCTTTTGCACTCTACAAACTAATGAAAAAATGCTCAGTATAATGAAGATCAAGAGTGGCGCTCTCAATTCAATTCAGAAACTACTTTTTAAAATGTAGATTCCTTTTTAGTGTTTTTGGTCAGAATTTCTAAAGATTACTGTCTTTATACTGATTGCTAATATCTCTTGCTTGTTCATGAAATCAGATTCAAACTGGCAAACTAGCACAAAAAACATAATAAACTGATGAATCCTAGCTGCCTAAGAGGTTTACACAGCCATGAGGTTTACACAGCAATAGCTACTAATAGCCAGATTTATATACCTTGGTTGTCAGGTTTAAAACAAACAACTAAGCATTAGAAATACAGCACATGCTGTTAAGAGATTAAAAGACGATGACCACTTGTGTACCTAAATCCTGAATTGTACTCCATATCTTTAAAATTAAAAAAAAAAAAAAAAATGCTGGGCTCAGTGGCTCAAGTCTGTAATCCCAGCACTTTGGGAGGCTGAGGTGAGAGGACTGCCTGAGTCCAGGGGTTCGAGACCAGCATGGGCAACTTGGCGAGAACTTGTCTCTACAATAAATAAAAATGACAAAAAAATTAGTTGGATGTGGTAGTGTGCACCTGTAGTTCCAGTTACTTGGAAGGTTGAGGCGGAAGGATTGCCTGAGCCCAGCAGGTCGAGGCTGCGGTGGCTGTGAGCATGCCACTGCACTCCAGCCTGGGCGACAGAGTGAGACTCCAACTCAAAAAAAAAGAAATTAGAAGAGAAAAAAGGACCTGATTACTGTCAGAAATAGTAGTGACTTAAGTCTAACCTAGTAAAATACTTTCTGGTTATTGAAGACAGCCTACTTACAGAGTAAATTTCTCTTAAATTCCCTAGGCCCACATAGATATTTAACTAAAATGCTAAAAAAGAACAAGTACTTTAACATACAATTTAAAATTAATTCCAAATTGGTTAACTCACTTTCTATGTTGAGAAAAGTATTATGCCAAGTGTTCTATTTCCCGTGTATATCCCAATATATAAAACATTTCAAAGTCCTATCATTACTTCATATATCAATGAGCACTGAAGGAGGGATTCCATAATCCCAAATTCATTTCTCCTAACAATGAGGCATATACAGCGATGCACCAGCTGATGGTGATTTTTATCCACCTCTGAAGAAGTAAATTAACCTTTTTTATTTCACCTCTCCCTTATAAAAATAAGTATCATTCAAAAGTTCTTGTCTGATGAAGCAGGCTCATCTAATACTGTTCTTTAATTTTAATGAGACTAGAGTGTTCAAGGTTCCATTTGAAATGACATTTAGAGACTTCTGAATTGAGCTTAACAAGTCTTACTCTATCTGTTAAGTGTACTAACTAAAAGCCTTTCTCAGTCAGTAATAAAAGGAAAGCACTCTAATTACCTCTGAAACATGTAAAGGATGTTAAGACAATGGCTGAAAATGAGAAGTAAAATATACAATTCTGTAACAGCTGTAAGGCCAAATAACTGCTTTTAACATACAGAAAGCATCAGAAACCCTCCAGTTATTGGCAATCAAGCTTTATGAAACAGTCACTCAGTGGAAAAACTAAGAAAACAATAAAAGTAACTTTATTGAAGATCTAAACTAAGACTCGAGATGATCCCATAGTAAATGGTAATAAAATATTACGAAAATTAGTATTTTATAATGTATTACCTGATCAAGAATTCGCCCCATTCTGTCAAATAAAACTTTCAAAAAATGACCTTCAAAGAAAGCTGCTTCTAAATTGCACTTTTCCAATGCTTTCGGAGAGCCAGGCCACTCCCATCTTAAGCAGATAGCACAGTAGTCCCGGAACTAGGAAAAAAGAACATTTGGATCATTAAAGAAGAACAAAAATAAACTGAGATGAAATTGAAATGATTACCTCAATTAGACACATAAAAACACATTTTGGATGCAGAATGTCTGCTATGTGTGAGGGGTCAAGGGAGAGGTGGAAAAGATGGCTCAGATCTCTGTGACCAGGAGCACAGGTAAGATGATAGTCACCAGTAACCAATATAAGTTGATGAAAAAAAGGCACATTTTAGCTTTACTAAAATATCTCCCTTAATAATTGTGCTTAAGCTCTTTTTTTCTAAAGGAATTTAATACTTTAGTTATTTTCCTCATAGATTTAGGGTACATTTAAAAAGCAAACAGCCAAGTTTTCAACTTTATTTTCAAATGTTACATATAACAGAAGAGCAGATGCACATTATCTGAGAAGGCAAGCCTGCCATATCTATAATTGAAAGCACACAAGGCATGCTGTTATGATAGGATAAAACAGTGCTGCTCAAAGGGTGGTCCACAGACCACTGCTGGTCCTCAAACTGTTTGCTACCATCCACCATGATTGAGCACAAAAAGCAAGAGCAAGCATTTTAAAACTTTCTTAACAATTTGAGCAGTTTTATGTCTGCTGAACCTAACAATAAAACAATCAGGGTATGCATTTTGTAACTTTTTCATTTTTCTACAGTACTAATTCATTTTTTGTATTTTGCTAAAGTGTTGGTCTGTGACAGATTAGAAATAATAAAAAAATTGATCCTTTACTACAGATAGTTATCACTAGAACAAATATTGTGGATTTTTATAAGCACAAGACTATATGATAAAATAAAAATGATTTTTAAGTCTTCCCCAAAATGCAATTTACTCGAATTTAAACAAAAGACATTTAGAACATGGTTTCCTCCATGTTCTTTCCCTCCTCAGAAACTTCTATTCAATAAAGCAAAATTATTTTGACATCTCTAGTTTGGAAATTGCCTTAAATTAAAACAGAACATATTCTTACCATGAAGCTTTAACTTCAACTTTTAAAAGAAAAAAAAAAATACAAAACAATTAAAAAGCCAATTGCAATATATTGAGAGCTTTAAACTATTTGGCTTTCAATACACAATTTTCTATATAAACTACATTCAATTTTTAATAAATCATTTTTACATTAACACCTCTGAAATTCTGACCTAGAATTTTGTAATCCCTTTTGTATACTTTCTAATACTTCTGAAACAATCATAATAATTGTGTTTGTAATCACAAAATGAAAATGAGAGAAACTTTACAGAAAGAATAAAAGCTGTTTAAAAATCTAAATTGGTGGTACTAAGAGGCATTTTTCACTTTTATTGTCATTACTTGATTGTTATAGGAATGTAACTTGCTAACCCATTACTCTAGTTATTCACATAGTAATGTGTACTTGAATTAGACTTAAAGTATTATGAATTAACTATATGCACATGCAAATTAATTACATATAATGACATACTTCAATCCAGAGCATTTAAATAAAAATTAAATGTATATATTTCAGGCTGGGTGCAGTGGCCCACACTTGTAATCCTAGCACTTTGGGGGGATCACTTAAGCCCAGGAGTTTGAGCCTAGCCTGGGCAACATAGTGAGACCTCGTGTCTACATTAGAAAAAAAAAGGTTTGGTGGCATACACTTATAGTCCCAGATACTAGGGAGGCTGAAATGGGAGGATCACTTGAGCCCAACAGGTTGAGACTGCAGTGAGCAAGCATTGAGCCACTGCACTACAGCCTGGATGACAGAGTGAGACCCTAACTCCAAAAAAAAAAAAAGTGTATTTTTCAGATTTGAGAAATGTCAAAACTTGGAATTTTCAATGTTTGAAATTCACTTTTTTGTTGTTTTTTTTTTTTTTGAGTTGGAGTCTCACTCTGTCGTCCAGACTGGAGTGCAGTGGCTGCTCCCGGCCACCGCAGCCTCAACCTGCTGGGCTCTGGAGATCCTTCCGCCTCAGCCTTCTGAGTAGCTGGAACTACAGGCACGCGCTACTACACCCAGCTAATTTTTTTTTATTTATTGTAGAGATGAGGTCTCGCCAAGTTGCCCAGGCGGGTCTCGAACCTGCAGGCTCAGGCAATTCACTCACCTCAGCCTCCCAAAGCGCGGGATTACAGGCTGAGCCACCAAGCCCGGCTGAAATTCACTTTCAAATTTTGAAAAATTTTATTCTAGTTATCTGTCCAACAAATACTAAATAGCTATTGATTCTGTAAAATGTATAGAGCCCTGAGTTACATATTTTGTGGGATTCAATGATAAATCAAGCATGAATCCTACCCTGAAGAGACATATTACTTTATACCCCCCATATAGGAAAGAAAACACAAAGGGCCACAAAAGACGTAGAGATAATGCCACAGGTATAGAGAAGAGCAGTTACCTTTACACTAGTGGGGAAGGGGAGAAGAGCTCCTACTTTTACTGTTGGGGGAGGAGAGCAGAGAAAGTGGGTAAAGAGAATAAACCAGATGTGGCATTTAATCTGAACCTTGAAGACAGGGAAGAAATATAGATATCAGACAATGGGTAGAGATGAAAGCGAGGAAAACCTTGTAGGCAAACAGTAGCATCAATAAAAACATGTAAATCATACACTTAAAAAGAGAGTGTCATACAAAGAAATAAAGATAAAAAGGCAGGCTGAGAAGATCCAAGAGGACCCTGAATGCTAAGATTGGATCTCTAAGTATTCAGACTTTATGAGTTAATAAAGGAGAAGAAGGGCCACTTCAATCAGATTGATGTTTTAATGGATTCTGAGCAGAAAGAACAAGCTGATGTGACAAGTTATGAGGTTACAGTAATCCTAGGCAAAAAGTGATAAAGACTTAAACTAGGATTCTGAAAGTAAAAATGGGGAAGGAGATAGACAGGAAAGGTATGATAGGAGCAAAACTGATATAACTTGGCAATGGATTAGAAGCAAAGAATGGAAGATGAATGAATTCGGGACAATTCTGAAGTCCAAACCTTGGGTGACCAGGAGGATGGATGTGCCACTGACCACAGCAGGAAACAAAGAAGCATATGCACTTTTGGAGAAACCAACGATAAGCTCTACTTTGGACAGATGAAGTCTGAGGTTCAAGATGAACATCTAAACACCTGGGGCTAGAGCTTTGGAGACACTTCAGATATAGATGGTCAGATATGGAATTCATGAGATGAATGCTAAACCACAAGAATGCCAAAGGAATGAAGACAGAAGGAGGACCAATGATAGATATTCGGGGGGGGGGGCGTTGTTACACCATCATCCTGTGGACAGAATAAAAAACACAACTGAGACCTAAAAGCAGCAGAACAGAAAGGAATGCTACTGCAGAAGCATTAAAAAAGGATACAATTTTAAACAGGAGAAGGTTAAACAATTTCAGTAAAGTTGCAGGATACGAGATCAATAAACAAAAATCAGCTGTATTTCTAGACTAGCAATTAATAGTCTAAAAATAAAATTCACCAATTTCACTTACAATAGCATAAAAGAATAAAATATGTAGAAATAAGTTTAACGAAGGGGGGTATAAGACTTGTGTGCTGAAAACTACAAAATATTGTTGAACAACATTAGAGAACCTGAGTAAATGGAAAGACATCCTGTATTCATGAATTCAAAGTCTTAATATTGTTAAGATGGTATCACTCCAGTTGATCTACAGATTCAATGCAATTCTTATAAAAAATTCCAACTTTTTTTTTTTTCCAGAAATGGCCAGAGTTATCCTAAAATTCACGTGGAAATGCAAGGGGCACCAAATAGCCAAAACAATCTTCAAAAAGAACAAAATCACAAGACTTATACTCAATTTCAAAACTTACTACAAAGTTGCAGTAATCAAGACAGTGTGGTACTGGGGTAAGGAAAGAGTTATGGGTCAGAGTAATAGAATTGAGAGTCCTGAAATAAATCTTACATTTATAGTCAATAAAGGAGAAATAGCCTTTTCAACAAATGGTGCTGAGGCAACTGGATATCTACATGTAAAAAAGATGAATCTGGACCCCAGGTATGACACAAAAAAGAACAAGGGAAAAATACTTAAGGTGTGCATCACCAAAATTAAAAACTTTTGTGTATCCAAAGACACTGTGAAGAAGATGAAAAGACAACTCCTAGAATGGAAGAAAACATTTGCAAATCATCTATCTAATGAATATCTAGTAGGCAGACTACACAAGGAACTCTTACAACTTAACAACAAAAAAATAAAACAGCCCGATCAAAAAAACAGGCAAGGAATTTAAAAAGATATTCTCCAAAGAAGATATAAAAACGTCTGCTAAGTACATGAAGTGGTACTCAGCATCATTAGTCATTCATGAAATATAAATCAAAACCACAATGAGATACCACTTAATACCTACTAAGATGGCTACAATAAAAAAAGGATAACAACAAGTGTTGATGAGGACATGGAGAAATAAGAAACTTCAAACATTGCTGGTGCAATGTAAAATGGTGCAGTCACTATGGAAAACAGTTTGGCACTTCCTCAAAAAGAGTTAAATATAGAGTTACCATGTGACCTAGTAATTTTACTGCTAAGCATTACCCAAGAAAACTGAAAACCTATGTTGACACACAAAGTTTTAAAGGAATATTTACATCACAGCAGAAGTATTCATAATAGTCAAAAAATAGAAACCAAATGACCATCAACTGATGAATAAATAAACAAAATATCCATGCAATGAAATATCATTCAGTCATAAAAAGAAATAAAGTATTGGGGATGGCTAATACCTATAATCCCAACACTTTGGAAGGCCAAGGTGAGAGGATTGTTTGAGGTCAAGAGTTCCAGACCAGCCTGGGCAACATAGCAAGACCTCATCTTTACAAAAACCAACCAACCAACCAACAAACAAAAACCCAGCTGGGTGTGGTGGCATGAGCCTGTAGAACCAGCGACCCAGGAGTCTGAGGCAAGAGGATCAGCTGAGTCCAGGAGTTTGAGGCTGCAGTGAGCTATGATTGTGCTACTGTACTTCAGCCTGGGCAACAGAGGAAGATCTGTTCTCCAAACTAAAAATAAAAAAATAAAATAAATACTGATGTTTGTTACAACATGAATAAATCTTGACTACATTATGTCAAGTAAAAGAAACCAGACACAAAAGGCCATGTATAGTACGATTCCATTTATGTGAAATATCTAAAATAGACAAAGTCATAGAGACATAAAGTAGATTAGTCACTGCCTGGTGCTGGGAGTTGGGGAGGAGGAGGTGGCAATGAGGAATGTCCACTTAATTTGTAGAGGCTTTCTTTTTGAAGTGACAGAAATATTCTGGCATTATATAATGATGACGGTTGCATAACCTTGTGAATATACTGAAAGCCGTTGAATTGTAAACTTTAAAATAGTTAAAATATTGAATTTTATCTTGATACAAATTTTTCTTAAAGGAGGAGTCTCTTTTAGCACATTTTTTTTTTACATTTTACAGTGAAAAAAGCTATAAAGAGGACTTCCAATACTATGTTGAACAGGAGGGGAGAGAGTGGGCATCCTTGTCTAGTTCCAGTTTTCAGGGGAATTGGTTCCAATTTTTGTCCATTTAG